CCCCAAAACCCCAAAACCCCAAAACCCCGAAAAATAAAAACTCAGTTGAAGATAATTCTAATAGCTCTGCTTTCTTTGAAGTACACTTCAGCTTAAGCCTTCAGCAAGAAGATGCAGTATAAGATGAGGAAACAGAGACTTGATCATTCATAACCTCTGAACCCAGATTTAACCATCAAAAACATCAAATAAATTTCCCCTTTTAATCGACTAATTACTCATCCAATCTAACCCCCTTCCTCTATCCTGCCTTATCAAAATCACTCTAAGAAATGTCACAATAGGGCAAGACCCGTTCAGGTCTTGCCCTTGCCAAGGCGACTACTGAGTCTGGCTGGGGAAATTTGTAGGAGGGCTGAGAGGCGTGGTCGAAGTGGAGGCCAGGGTTGGATTCTAGGTGGGTCTGGTAGTCAGGGTCTCTGAGGAGGAGGTATTGCATCTGTCTTCTAAGTACCTTGATCATATAGATGATATTTAGACAACCTAATGATTCCTTCATCCTTTCTACTTCCATATCTGTTTTCGAAGCACCCATGAACTTTGGGCAGCATCTTGAGCTATTTGTAACCTTCATCATTTTCCTCATCTTCTCCTTGCTGGGATAGAAGTCCGAATGTAGGAAGTCCAAATGTTGGAAATTTTGTGCGAGTATACTCTATTTTTCTTTCTTCAACGACATCAGGCTCCACTAAAGCACAATGTTAAAACTTCAAGTTTTACTGTTGAAATCTTTACTTTCTTCATTGTTTACTCTTTGCTTAACCTCTTCAAGAATTTTCAGTTCTTCATCTTCGTTGTCTGGCTCATAGTTTATATTACTAACATTCAATTGACTTTTCTTCCTAAGCTTAGCTGGAGGAGCTGCTCTACTGAGATTGTTTTCTTGCTGTCTCTGATTGCTCTTCTGAATTTTGCTCTCTAATTTTGTAATGCAACTATCCATCTCTTTGAACTTCTCTTCATACTTTCTTATATCATCATGCAAACTTTTCTTAAACATATGAGAAGAGTAGAGGCCAATGATAACTCCGATTCCAATTTCGAAGACCTCAAAGAAACCTCCTAGAATTCCTGTGACTTCGAGGAAGTTGAGGACTTTTCTTCTGTGCTGGTCTATCTGGCTGTCCTTTCTGATCCTAACACTTATAGTTCCCCAAAAATATCCAGGATCTTCTACTTCTTCTTCTGTAAGAGAGTAATCCTCAATGCTATTGAAATAAATTGGGTCTGGGTCGGAAAAAGTTGGAAACAGACCATCCTCCAGAATTACTTCATGTTGTCTCATCTTCAATTCAACCTTGAGATTTTTATTTTGCTTGAAATTCAAGAAGATTTCATCATCATAAAACTTCTTGATTGGATTGTCAATATCATTCAAATCAACATATCTGTTCATCAAATGAATCATTACAGTTGATCTCTTGAGTATTGGAGCCATTTCATTCTGAGGAACACATGGATGGTCTTCATACTCCATGCATGGTTCAAATTTAAAAGTCAGATCTCTATAATTCTGTCCCGAACCAAAACGTCCTTGTAATGTTTGGCCTGCAAGTTGAGGTCAACTAGGAGTGACTTCTCCATTTGGATACATTTTGTCATGAACAGTATAAAAGCTGTTAGCTCAACTTACATTATCTATCTCGATTAGATTGAAATTAAACATAGAATTACTTTTATTGTCTGAAGAAAAAGAATAAAAATTTGAAATTCCTAGTTGCTCCATTTCATAGCCTTCTGGTAAACTATTTGTATCCAAAGCTGACCAGAAAACCTTGAATTCAGGATCATCTTCTCCCCAGATTGTTCCAGAATGGTCTTCTGCCAAATTGGTATACACTGAGTTATGATTCCAGCTCACATTGGTTCTCTTGAACATTATTCTAAAAAGCACTATTCCATAGCCAAGCAGAGTTAGGCAAGCCACTAGAGTGGACAAAGCTCCCAAAGTATTTGAGAAATGAGTCTTCCCTCGAAATGTAAGGTTGACCGACTGCTTGAACATATCAAGGTTTTTGATCTTCTCAAGCGTCCAATTGCAAAAGGTTATTCTATAATCCTCCATATTTAATAATCCTGTTCTATACAAAATTTTTATCTCGGGGTTTTGGGGTTTTGGGGTTTTGGGGTTTTGGGG